CCCAATGGCGTCCGTTGGAACCCTAACCCTAGCCAGGAAATGGCTGAAAAATGCTCAAGCAAATTACGTAGGCTGTTTGTGCCAGCCAATTAATGATGTGGATTTAAGCTGCACCCCCCCCCATCCCCCTCCGACCCGCGTGCTTGGAAAGATCGAAGAGTTCCGACAGGCTCGATCCGACGCAGTACTGCCGCGGTGGCGAGCGCATTCGTCGCAGACCTGCTTGCCTAACTCTCATGTAGAAAGCGATTTTACGGCATCACTTGAGAGACAAATCGCTCATGTCGATCGCAGACATCAGGATCACATGCTCAAAAAGATATGATAGGGTTAGCAAAGCAGATGAAACCGGAACTGTGAAGACCAATCTATCTAAAGGAGGAAACCATCGCGTCTCCAAGCCGCGACGATGTTGGTGAGCAGCTGGTCGTCGACCTCTACGAGGCGATCGCGCAGCTGCTGTTCGAGGCCGAGTTGCTGAAAGACCGATTGCAGATGGCTGACCTGATGCTTCTTGGCCTGCTTGCGCCGAGCGTACTCCTCCGTCAAGGTCTGGGCCTGGAGCGAAGGGTCGTACTTGCTGTGAAAGAAGCTGAGTAGCTTGATCGTCGGGTTCTTCTCGGGGTCTTTGTCGGACTCGGCGAGACGACGGAGCCACTCGAGCGTGTCAACAACCTCGAAGCTGTCGCCGAGGTTGTGAGGCGCTCGCAACAGCTCGAGCACCTTGGCGAAGGGCGTCAAGCTGGGGTTGACAATGTGGACGACGCCGTGAAGCTTAGCGGGCTGGACGAGACGGGCCATGATGAAGCCAGCGTCATTGACGGGAAGCCAGGAGACTTGCTCGGGCAGGTTAGGGAGACAGCCAACGGTCTGCGCCGACTTGAGCATGAGAGGGACGGCTTCGGTCTGGTTCCAGATGCCGGAACGACGATCGCCGACCATCTGGCCGATTCGGGCAACGACGGCGTCAAAGCCACCGCCGACAAGCTGCTGCGCCACACCGCAGAGTCGCTCGACCATCCACTTTGACCTCGCATAGCCCATCTCCTGAGCGTCCTTGGCATCTTGCGAGATGGTCTCCTCAACGACGTTGCCGAGGCGACGTGCTGAAGCCGAGACCGAAGAAGAGAAGATGAACCTCGGCGACTGAGTGCCCACTGTCTGCGAAAGGAGGTTCATCAGCGCCACCGTGCCGAACAGAGACGAGCTGAACGACTCCACGGACATGTTGAAGTTGACGGGCCAGCCGTTGTGGATGACACAGCTAGTGTCCTTCAACAGATACCCCCATGCATCGTTGTCAAGACCGAGCTGGGGCTTGTTCAAGTCGGAAGCGAGGCAGACGATGCGAACGCCTTTCTCGGCAACAATCTGGGCGGTCGAGCTCAGCCCACGCACCTGGAGCGACTCCTCGGTTCGCTTCTGAGCGTCGTCGTTGCTCTTTGCGCGGTTGAGGCAGACGACGGTCTTGATGTCGTCCATTGTCGCCAACTGTTGGAGAATATGAGCACCGAGCGAGCCGGTCGAGCCCGTCAATACGATGGTGTGCTTCCTCGGCACGGCACAAGCGGCAGCAGCTGCCTGAACAATGGTGGCATCGCGGACCATGAGCAAACGCTCGAGCTGCTGCATGGTGGTGTGCATGGCCTGGTTCTCGCTAGCGTTGCGGTCGACCGACGAAGCGGACTGCTCCTCGCCCCTGGCGGATGAAAGCAGGAATTTGGCCAGTTTCCGCACGGTGGGGTGCTCAAAGACAAGGTTAGGAGGCAAACGAGACGGAAGCTGAACTCGCTGTTGCAACAGGTTGCGGATGCGGTTGGCCTGAAGCGAGTCAATACCGAGCTGGATGAGGTCGACATTGAAGAACTCGGCTGAAGCCGGCGGAGGCGAGATAGGACGACCGCTGACTTCGGAGACGACCTGAGCCACCACAGAGATGGCCGAAGGCTCGTCGTCGACCTGCTGGATCTGGACGCTCTCCAACCCGGCAGCTGTGCCAGCCTCATAGTCTGCGTATGCTTGGGCAATCTCTTGCTCGAATGCCTTGACAACCTTTGCGCGAATCAACGATCCCTTGTCAGCAGAGCTGAACTTGGTGTCGGCAGGGAGCAGCTTGACTAGCTCGGGCACCACTCGAGAGTGCGATGGTGCCTCACGGTTGGCGGCCTCGACGGCTTTCCAGACCAGTCGGCCAAGCTGACGGTCCAAGGACGCTTCTGAGGCTGCGCTTGATTCAGCTTGTGCCTTCTCCACCGCCAAGGACGAAGGAACCACGAGAACACCCGTCTGAGCTCGACCGGCTCCGAAAACGAGACATTCAGCCACGTAGGGGGAGGAGCGGATTGCAAGCTCCATCGGTACTGGGTTGGTCTTCTCGCCGTTGTAGTGGACCAGGGTGTCATCCGAGCGTCCGACGAACTTGAAGGCGTCTGGCAGAGTGGGGTGGCGAACAAACAAGTCGCTGGTGGCATACGACCCGTCAGGTCGGTTTGACTTTGTGAGCGCTCTCCACTTGGAGTCGACGACCACTTCGAAAGGACCTGACTCGTCAGAGCCAACGTTTTCGAGATGCAAAAAAGGCTTGAAGGCGGCAGTTGGGCGAAGGAACTCCCACTCCTTGTCTGTGGCAAAGTCACGAAAACTTGTCATGAGCTGTCCGACCTCGGTGGAGCCGTAGAGGGCAACGAGAGGGACGTTGTGCTGTTGGACGAGCATGTCACCTATCTCGCTCGGACAGGCCGAGCCGGCGAAGGTGACCAGCTCGAATCTGCGCAAAGCCTCCAAGCCACGCTCCGACTCGGAGAGAAGCTTCAGAACGAAGGGAACAGCGTAGAACTGCGAAGCGGTGCTTGCGCCGATCGCATCCACGAGGACGTCGGCGGTCAAGCGGCCATCGTGCATGAAGAGCTTCTTGCCCGCGTAGACGGCACGCCAAAAGCTTGCATGTCCAAAATTGTGGAAGAGAGGAACCGTTATGAAGCCATCGCGACCGAACGCCGAAGCAAGGTTGGCAACCGATGCTCGATGCGTGATCAGGATGGGCTTGGGGAAGCCCGTGGAGCCACTCGAGTGGACGATAAAGGCAACTTCGGGACTCTCTTCGGCGTAGCTCAGCTGCGAAGCAGGAAAAGCTTCTCTCCCGGTCTGATCTTCAGCTGGCGATGTTTCGACTGCCTCGGCGACCGTGGTCCACTGCATCATCTGAGTTGACGTCTGGCCTTGCTCGAGAAGAAAGGCCTTCAAGTCGAGAATCTTGCTGGTCTGATCGGTACCGTAGAGCAGGCATTGGGCCTTGGTGGCCTTGACGAGATGTGCAAGTGCGGGAACGGAATTGTTTGTCGAAAGGTAGGCCACGGTGTGACCGAGTCGGCAAATGGCCAAGGCGTTGAGGGCATAGTCGAAGCCGCTGTCGGCGAAGAGCGCCACTACCTTCTGTGCATCCTCGTGGCGTCGAGGTGGCAGGATGCGGGCGTACTTTGCACATATCTTCTTGACGAGCGAATCGGTCTGGCTGAAAGTGTATTGGTCGTACTCAAACGATGAGGCTGGGAAGCTGCTGTCCTTCTTGGGAACGCAGAGGAAGACGCTGTCTCCCATCGTCTTGACTTTGTGGGCAAAGAGAGCGTTGAGCGAAGGAAGGGAGAGGACGGGGGCGTTCTTAGACATCTCTCCCTGGGTCGCTGTTGGTGATCGCACCGCGTCAGATGTGCAAGTGACTACACCAGACGGCTTGGACGCCGCGAAGGCAGCAGCGCCAAGGTCGACACGAGAGCTCGGGATCGACATGATGGAAGGTCGTCCTTGCGACTGGATATTGTCAGCTGGGATGGCGGATACGATATTGCTGTCTCCTGCTCGTTTATGATTCTATGTTGCGAACGTCAGTGGCGTGGTGACGTGTTGTTGCTGCTCGAGTCTAGAAGCGGGCTACGATGAAAGGTGAGGAGAAAAGATCCGACTCCCTCGAATATGCTTGTCCTTTATGAAGACGGGTACAAGACACCCTAGACCAGCTGATGGCTATAGCCCCACGTTGACAGCCGGCACGATGATGCCGTGGGAAACTCCAAACGGTAGTAGACCGGCGTATCCAGTCAACTGCTGACCGATTGGAGATGACCTTGCGACATCTGCTTTGCTCGGAAAGTGGAGCCGGTACCGTGAAAAAGAACATACAAGAGTCTTTCTGGCTTCTCTTCGCTTCGAAGAGATAGACAAAGAAGCAGGTATGTCGAGGATCCAGACTAGCGAGGAGTAGCGGGGGGGAAGGCGGATTTGAAGCGGTCGGTGAGCCGTGTGGGATGACAGGCTACATGAAAGTGGGATGGGGCGGCCGAGGAAAAAGGAAGGAAGTGGGATGAGGCGAATAGGATGCGAGGCGACCACACGGACACGCAAGTGTGGCAACAGAGCAACGGTGGTGAAATCATGCCGGAGATGTCACATCTTAACGCCAGCCCAGCGAGACGGTGGGATGTGGGAGTGCGAGCGCGAATCTCAGAACAAGCTGGCGAGCTGAGTTCGGCTATGAGCAGCGGCAGAGGTGTCGGACTGGCAGGCGCGGCGCAAATGTTGCGGGGCCCCACTCAGGTTGCGTCCGGTCCACGGTGGCCGAGGGTGGGAGTGGGATGTCGGTGCCTGAAATGGCGCATGCGAGGTGGGATGTGGTTAGCCGTTTTCCCCGGATCAAGTTCGACGGCTCCACGCCCGTTTGCCTCGGTGGATTTGCGGGGAGTTTGCGGAGCGGGAACAAAGACTCCCTCGTACCGCCACAGCGAAGCCGTCGTCTGAGCCCTGCCTTGCCTCCATCGTCTCCTAACATACACCGTACATCTCTAGAAAATGCTGTCCTTCTCGCTTCTTGCTGCCAGCTCCCATGATCGAGCCAAGAAGACCAGGGTCGATCTAAGCCAAGACATGTCAACTATCGTATGAGTACCCGACTCGCATCCACTAGTCTGGACTCCCTGACCGTCCATCTCTGTCGGAGCTAGCGTACCTCACCCGATCCTGCATCCCACCTTCGCATTTCTCGGCATTGCAACGACCCTAAAACCCCACCGTTCAGCGACAGGCACAGCAGATGTGCATCAGCAAGCTCTGTAGCAAAGTCCTTCTTGTGCCATACATCGCCACTCCTCAAGTCCTCGTCCAAGGAGACCTGCCTTGTGGAGCAAAGACATCCCATCTAACACGTGGTTCCTGACTAGTATCTAGTTGCACAAGCGATCCTGAAACACAGCGACCGGCGTCCATCCGGGGCCCCACACCGTAGCCTCGTTTTGTATAAGTACGAGTATCTCATTTGTCAAGGTCAGAACTACTGTCCTCATCGGCAAGCATCCGCTCGAACAACCTCGTTCCTCCCACCCATTCGTCGCGGCGTCTCTGCGGGCAAGCAAGACCCTTTCTTCAAGCTTTCGTCTCCTTCGCTCGCGCTCCCCTCAAGGCCACACCTCCGTCGAAGCTGCCGTCCAGCAAGATGGACAAGCTCACGGACCTGGTGCTCAAGCCCGCCAACGGCGGCAAGGGCAACGCCGTCATGACACGAACGGCGTCCAAGATCTCGGACTCTCTCAGCGACGAGAAGGTCGGTCTCCCTGGTATTCCCGCGCTCGAGTCCGATCAGACTTTCTACCAGCGCGGTATGCCTGACTCGCTCAAGAGCATGTCTTCCGACGAGATCAAGTTCCTCGAAAAGCAGCTGGTTCGCAAGCTCGATCTTCATATCATGCCTGTCGTCATCGTCATGTTCCTCCTCAACATCATCGACCGCAACGGTCTTACAAACGCAAAGCTCGGCACCCTCACCAAGGACCTCGGTCTCGACTCGCACGAGTACCAAACCGCCCTGATGCTTCTCTACGTAGGTTATCTTCTCTTCCAGGTTCCTTCGAACATGCTTCTACCCTACACACGTCCTTCGCTCTACCTGCCGGGCTGCATGGCCCTGTGGGGTATCGTCAGCGCCTGTACGGGTGCCACGCACAACTACGGCGGTCTGGTGGCATGCCGAATCACGCTTGGTTTCCTCGAGGCTCCCTTCCTCGGCGGTGTTGTCTATCTCTTCTCGTGCTTCTACAAAAAGTCGGAGCTGGTCGCCCGTATCGCCATCCTCTACTGTGGAAACTCGTTGTCCAATGGCTTCGGCGGTCTCTTTGCCGCTGGTATCCTGCAAAACCTGAACGGCGCGCACGGCCTCAGTGCATGGCGCTACATCTTCATCATCGAGGGTGCTGCCACCGTCGGCGTCGCCTTCATGGCCGCAGCTCTGCTTCCGGACTGGCCCAGCAACACTCGCTGGCTGCAGGGCAACATGAAGGACCTCGCCATCTACCGTATCAGCGCCGAGAACGGAGGTGCCGCTGAGGATGAGAAGCCCAAGAAGTGGACCACCGGCGTCACCCTCGCTTTCAAGGATCCCATTGTTTGGCTTTGCGTCTTGATGCAGCACATGCTCCTCGTGGCTCAGTCGTACACCTACTTCTTCCCCACCATCGTCAAGACGCTCGGCTACAACAGGACCAACACGCTGCTCCTCACCGCACCTCCTTACTTCTTTGCTTTCATCGTGTCGGTATTCAACGCCTGGCACGCTGGCGCCACCAACGAGCGCTTCTGGCACATCACCATACCCATGTGCTGTTCCATCGTCGGCAACGTGCTCGTCGTCGCCGTGCTCAAGACTGGTCCTCGCTACTTTGGCATGTTCCTACAGGCTCTCGGACCGTACGCTGCTTTCTCGCTCATCCTCGGATGGATCAGCTCAAGCATCGCGCGTCCCAAGCACAAGCGTGCCGTTGCTCTGGCGCTGAGCAACAGTATCGCCAACGGTTCGCACCTGTACACCTCGTATATCTACCCTGACAAGGACAAGCCTCGCTTTCTCAAGGGTGGTATCATCATTATGGCCGCTTCGTTCCTCTGCATCGCTTGCGCCTTCTCGCTCAAGTTCATTCTAAAGCGTCGAAACGCCGAGTACGACAAGGCCGAGAACGAGGGCAAGGAGAACGCCAACCCAGTCGGTTTCGGGTTCCGTTACGTGTACTAAGGAGAGTTTCCAGTCAGTCCCGCTTCCAGCTTCCTATTCTCGTTTCTTTGTATGACAATGTTGCACATTTGTCGATGCAGGTTACGAAATGGTTATCCATCCTTGCATCGTCCTGACTCGGAAAGTGAGCCGTAGGCGAAAAGGTGACCCTTGAGACGACAATGACAGACAAGCAAATCGACGGCAGCTTCGCCCCCTTAACAAGGGAGCTTGAGCCCAGTACAGACGCTCTGTGGGATCATCCACTCAACGAACACAACCATGAGTTCGGAGCCGCATCTATGACGGAGCAATTGTTGAAGGACTCGCATGAGCGACATTAGAAGTCCAGTTCTAGACAACGTTCCGTTCGATGCTATTTCATTGTCAGGTATCTTGTCAGCCTGCTTTTAAAACGCCCTTTCCTTTGTGTTATTGACATCAACACAGCACAAGCAGTGAAAGCATCTCATAGAGACAAGTCGTTCGAGACCTCTCACGGCGTGGCATGATCCCATTGCGTTGCGTTCTTTTGAATCAATCTCATTGTCCATTCCGAGTTCCAGCATCTCGCTTATGCCCGTCAGACAGAGACGCTATGTGTTCCGGAAGATGATTCTAATTTTCTATTTGAAACGAGAGCAGACATATGCGAGCTAAAAATGAATCACACAAACTAGGCCACGACGACCGAGCCGTTGCTCTGGGCCTTCCAGATAGCGCAGCTCTCGTGCTCGGTGTTGAACAAGTCGATCAACCAAGGGCCGTTGGGAGCGGGGTATTGGATGGGGATGTTGAACCTTTTGGTGCCGAGGGTGTTTGGCAAGACGTTGAGCGTCTTCCTCTCCTCGTCGGTTAGGTCAAAGTTGAGGCTCTCGAGGTTCGATTGGAGACGGTGAGGTGTAACCGACTTGGGGATGCAGCATACGCCGTTGGAGACGCACCAGTTAATGCAGAGCTGAGCCTCGGTGCGATTGTTCTTCGCAGCGAGCGCCTTGACGTTGTCGAGGTCGATAATCCTCGGCAGGCTCTGACGGTTGTTGCCGAGAGGAGAGTAGGCGGTCACGACGATGCCCTTGGACTCGCAGTAGTCCTTGAGCTCTTTTTGGAGAGGTGCGATCAGAGGGTGGAACTCGACCTGAACCGAGCTGGGAATCTCGTCGCTGTTCTCAACGATGAACTCAACAGCGTCCTTAGATACGTTGGAGAGACCGATGGCTTTGGTAAGGCCCTTCTTTTTGAGTGCGATCATTTGCTTCCAGGTGTCGAGCAGCGACGTCTTGGTGTCAATGTCGACGTCACCATCCGAGTTGCGGGGGAAGAGCATGTTGGCATCCTCGGCAGGGGTGAAGGGAACCGGCCAGTGAACGAGGTAGAGGTCGAGGTAGTCGGTCTTGATGTCGGAGAGGGTCCTGTTGATGGCAGCTTCGGCTCGTGTGTGATCCGTGTTCCAGAGCTTCGAGGTGATCCAGACGTCGGAGCGAGAGCAGACGCCCGATGAGAGCGCCTCGGAAAGAGCCTGACCGACCTCGTGCTCGTTGCCGTATACGCGGGCAGCGTCTGGTTTCGTGAAGGGGAATTTCAACGATATGCACGATACGATGTCAGTACTCCAGGAAAACAGAAACAAGTCCAGAAAGGAGCTCACGAGCGCACTTACCAATGTGACGGTAGCCCTGCTTGAGAGCAACACTGACGGCCTGACGCACCTCGTCGGGCTTGGCGAGCCAAGTGCCGAGGCCGATGGCGGGCATCTTGGCGCCAGTGTTGAGGGTGAAGTGGTGATTCTTGAGAGACATTATCGGTAGAGTGATGGTGCCAACAACGAGAAGATGACTCAGGGTCAAAGTCAAGAGGCAGAAACGCCAACTGGGTGCGGATATATGTAGACCGTGCCCTTGCTCGGAAGCCGACGACAAGACTGGCGAGCTCGATCACATCGTGTATGGCCACCGAACTGAAGCACTCTGACCGGCTCAGCCCACGCTGTCAACCATACAGACACCACACGTACACTGCAGAACCACAAGGCAAGGACCAAGGCGCGATGGCAAGCTATGCTGGCTTCCACTTTGCCTGCCAGCGTTGGTCTATGCTGCATGCACGGCCAAGCGGTAAGGGATATGCAAAGCGGCCAACCTGTTGCGGTCATTCTAAAAGTGGGATGGCATGACATGCATTGACCAACACTCGTCACTGAGAACAATAATGGCCGAGCAAAGCGGAAGCCAACTGTTATCATAGATTTGCCACGTGGTCGGCTGATTGGCCGCGGTTTTGTGTGTGTGGACGTTGATTTATGGCTTGGTCGGACGCATACAGTACAGGCCCACGCTGTGGCAGGTCGCACAAAGAAAAGAAAAAAAAAATCCCCCCGAGCATCAGTGGGATGAGCATCAGTGGGATGGAGTCGTGCCTGTTCAGCTGTTCAGCTGTTCAGCTGTTGTGTTTGTTGAGTTTGAGGGTGGGATGAAAGAGTGCGACGCCAAAGTGATGTGGGATACCGTCCATCCGAACGTGCCGATCCCACCTCTCCCTCCTATGTGTGGGGTCAGCCCTCACCCCGCATCTCACGAGTTACTCCATCCGTCTCTGCCACCCTGCCGCTGCCGCTCTGGCACTCTGAAGGGTCTCGCTCTCTCTCTCCACCCTCGCATGACCTCGCTCGCATCTGCATCTCCTCGTCGGCAATCATCCCTCCTTCTTTGGTCGACCTATCCCGCCTACGACATCCCGCAACCATCCCTCCGCTGGACTCCGGAAAAACCTTAGCCTTTGCGCCGACTCATCTTTGCATCCGAACCGATCCCTTCTTTCTCTCGCCGCAGCGCGGTCGACCTCATCGATGCCGCGCTGCAAGTTCTGCAATCGATCCTATCAGCGCTCCGAGCATCTCACGCGACATGTCACCACGGCCCATCCCCATCCAGACGCCAGGCAACGCACTTTCGATTGCACTTTGCCAGGATGCAACAGGTCCTTCAACCGCAACGACGTCTTGCGAAGACATATGGGCATCCATGCTCGTCAGCAACAGCAGCAGCAGCAACATCAGCAACAGCAACAATCTCAGCGTCAGCAACAGCACCAGCAGCAAGACCATCGGCACCAACCACATCAATCACAACCACCACCGCAGCAGCATCAACGTGAGCCGAACCATACACCATCGTCCAAGACACGTAGGCCGTTGACGAGCGGCCTGAAGGAGCAAAGGCCTTCAAAGTCGGCTCGCATTGCGACGGCGACGACAGCAATTGCTTCATCATCGACGGCGTCGGTTCTGTCGCCCGCTGCATCGGTGGCCGAAAGAGCTTCGCCGTCGCATCCAACACCACGTGGCGAAGCCGCTCACGCATTGGCTTCGCTGCTGTCCGCTTCGCCGTCGCTCCAAGCTGCCGCTTCCGATACCGGCAATCATGGTCGTTTCCATCATCACAACCTGTATTCATCCGACGCAATCAACGACTCGGCTGCCAGCGACTCTTCCTGTCGTCAGGGAAACCACGCAGCCAGCCACCGCAAAGCAGTAGGCACTGCACCGATGGAGATCCAAGCGGATCCGATGCTCTTTCCCTCCGGCGCTCAACAGCTGCCCTATTTTGGCCTCGATACACAGCAGCTGCAGTTCGACCCATTTGCTCATGGCAATTCTGCCGCTTTGGATGCAAACAACCTCAATGGCGGCGCAGGGTGTATGCTACAAGTTCCTCACTTTGATTTGGGCGGCTTGGAGTGGATCTTTGAGGCACTGGAAGAGTCTCGCACCTCTTCCAGGGCGGAGTTCTCGCCAACGTTGGTGGCCAGCGATGCGATCGGCGGATTCGAGCAGGGTCATGTTCAAACGCAGGCAGATGGCAGCAGCGACGCACTGCAAGCCGCTGCTGGTCTGATGAGCAGCTGGACGCAAGCTACTGGAAGAGAGGGTCAGGCGGCATCGGGAGGAGGTCAGCAGCAGACCAGCTCGGCTGCTGCATCGAAACCGGCGCACGGCGCAACTAGGGAAGAGGGCGGCGAATGGCCACAAGACTATCGACCCGCTTCGAGCAGTCTACCTCTCTTCGAGTTGACTCAACTCAAACTCGACGGCTTCTCGGACGATTCTGCCAACGCCTCGAGCAGCGGCAGCGCCCAAGACCATCGTTCGTCCGCCTCTCCGTCCTCTTCAGCTCACTCGGCGTTCACTGCCGCATCACGAGGTCCGTCGATCACAATACTCGACTTTGAGCATTACATCACGCTTCCTCCCGCGGTACCAGCGCATTGCGTCGTTAGTCAAGAGACTCGACTGCGGCTGCTTGACTTCATCCGTCACAGCTGCAAACATCCCTGGTCACGCTACCAGCTCTCCGCCGACGCATCGCACTTCTTGACGGTGACGCAGCTGCAGACCTCGGTCAGTTTATTCTTCGAGCAGTTCGACACGCATTTGCCCTTTTTGCACAAGCCCACGTTCAGGACCGACAGGATCCCTAGCATGCTGTTGCTCGTCATCATCACAATAGGCCTGGTGTTCCTTACGAGAGCCGTGACGATGCGACAGCAGTCGGCAGAACAGCGAACGACCAATGCCTCCACGCCCGGCAATTTGGGTGGCGGCAATCGACTCGCTATCGCGCTGTCCGAAATCGCGCGCATCAGCGTCGTCTCGGCCGTCGAGAGCGACTTGCAGGGCTTCATGCACATGTGGGTCACGCAGAGCTGGTTGCTCCAGCAAATGTTCGGCCTCGGATGTGGCGATAAGAGGCTCTTCCAACTGGCAGAGAGGAACAGAACGGGAATCGCGACTTTCGTGCGCCGACTGGGCTTCCTCAGGACCAGGCATACCAACGGCAGCGTGTCGCCCAAAAACGCCTCGAGGAGCGGACATCAGACTCCTGCAGCAGCAGCAGCAGCAGCACCGGTTGAAGCGGCCAGCGAGAGACTCTCGCTCGAACAACGCTGGAGGTCGTGGATCGAGATCGAATGTCGCATCCGGCTAGGCTGGGCCGTCTACCTCTACGACCAGGGCTATCCGATGTGCTTCGACCTGCCTCCCGTGCTCGTGTATTCGGAGGTAGCGAACCAGTTGCCGTGCGAAGAGGCTTTGTGGACCGCTGACTCGTGCTTCGAGTGGGCCAAGCTGATGGAGCAACATGCGGCCAACGACGGATCGCACGATAGTGCCGAGGAGGACGAGGCGGCATCTTTGGCATCGACGCTCAGCGACCGAACCTCGGACTTTCTCAACACGCTCCAGTCCTTCTTGCAACACAAGTCCACTGCCGTGAGAATCAACAAGTTTGGAGCGCTCATCTTGGCAACGACGTTCCACCGATTGATGTGGGATCATAGCAAACAGGAGTTGCTGCTCGGTTGGTCCGCCCCTACCGCTGGTGCTTTGGACACGACGCCATGCAGCGCAAGTACCGCGAGCAGCGTCGCCTCCACACTAGGTTCTCGAGCGAGCTCATCGCTCGCGATGCTGGCCCAGGCGGCGGGCGTGACCCTCCCCTCGCCTTCTTTCCACCACCACATGTTTGCGCGGCACGGTCGACGCAGCGGCTTCTTCGGCACTGGCCATGCAGACGCAATGATCTCGGATCTCTTGCTCATCAAGATGCTCTCCGACCTCCACTTTGGCTTTCCGCCCCGACTGTTCGACGAGCTCAAGGACGCAGCGGGTCGATTCGGATTCCAGACCGAAGGCCATCGTGAGGCGCACTCTTGGTTGCGAAAGTTCTTCGCACAGACCTCGCACAGGATCTGCATCGAAAAGGGAGTTACGACTGCGCTGCACATCTATCACTTCTCGGCAGCCAACTCTTCGGAAGCAGCCAACGGAGGAGGACACGTTGATCACGGCGTGAACCACGTCATCGCCGTCTTTCATTCTGCGCTCTTGCTCTGGGGCTACTTGTCGTATCAGACTTCTTCGACCAGCGTCGAGGCGACTCTCGGATCACCGGAAGCAGCAACGATGTCGGCGGTGCAGGACCGAGCCTCGATGGAGCTGTTGGGAGGATCGATCGGTCAGATGCTGACCAAGTTCATGGACCTGCTGGATTGCTCCCCCTGGGCACTGGCGAGGAGTTTCAGAGCGGTGCTGCAGCGCCTAGCTCTGCATGATGTTCAGCCATAACGATGCATCCCCCTTCTGTGTACCTTGTTTGTACGCTTTGAAAGCTCGGAAAGCTCGCTGCTAAGCTTGAGAATCTTACGGGCATCATCGACAGGCAACAGCTATCGTGCTGAGATGCCGATGTTGAAGATAATGTCAATCTTGCGCCAAGCAACCGTAGCGCTTTGCGGTACTCAGACCCTACGGTCCTAACACATGGACCCTGACCGCGTTTGGGCGGGACGGACACATCCACCGCCCCTCGCTCCGGACCGCCTGCTAGGGCTAGGCACGGATGAAGACCCTGGACGCAACGACCTGGTTATCCTCGATGAGGACCTGATCAGCAAATTATGCACAGCAGTGCGCTTGCTGTGGTGCTGACCCACATGGGATTTGTGTTCGAACGCCTTGTATGCGGGCTCGAATTGATCAAGAGAGTGCTGGTGAGGCGCAGATACTGCTCACGACGCTGTCAAACGCCTACTTGCACGGCGCACGGTCAAGACAGCTTGCCTGATTGGCTCAAAGTTTTGATCCTTTGGCAAGACGCAGTCGCACAGATTGTTCGACCCTTCGAGGTCCCGCAGCGCGATCACGGTGTCTGGGATTCTGGAACATCTTTCCATGAACTTGAAGATACCGTAGCTTTGCAGTCCGTACTTTCGGAGTACAATGCGCTCCTTGCGCCAGACATCCTCCACCGTGTCTTGATTGCCGTCAAGAGCAAACACCCAGATATGTCCGGCATTGCAAATATCGACGACAAAGTCATCAGCAAAAGAGCCAAGCTTGCGCAACACCTTGCCAATGATTAACCGGAGGATCTGCTGGTGCGTCACGTCGTCTGCGAGTATTGCCATCGTGGCCACAGAGCTTCTTCTTATCTTGGTCTGTGGCGGTGTGATTCTATATTGTCTGTGCGATTGCCGAGGTTGGTGATAGGAAGGGACGATGAGATTTATAGACTCAGACGTGGTCTCTGCGGAGCCCGAGGCTAAAAAAACCCTTCACATTTTGATTACCCCGCTGCGCAGCCGATTCATTGTGCAGCCGCCACAAAGGTTGCGCACAGCCCCCGCCCCGCTATTGAATCCTTATCGGACGTTGCGACGCCTGATCCATCGCTTCGAATCAAACCCAAGATCCGGGCTTTTCAGCCGTTTCACATCAGCGCTCACGGCCAGAGTTGGGCAATTGTAATGCTGCAAAGCAGCATTGGTAGCATAGGGCTGGAGGTTCCGGGCCTATCGTCTGATCCTTTGTTGAATGCGAAAGCAGCTATACAGATGCGGGCAGGGGAGCGTCTCAGATGGTCGAGAAGTGCCGGTGCAAGAGTGGCTCGGTATCCCTCCAAGCGATCGTTCGCTGAGAAGCGGGTCCAGTGGTCCAAAAGCGGTTCATTGTCGCTCGATGGGCTCGATCCTCTCTGTAGGGTCGTTGATGAAGATGGTCGCGGTGGCGGGCTCGTAATGTGCGCTTTCAATGGTGACGTTGGGATCGTCTGCATAGCCTCGTAGCAGATCGATGAATTGATCGATCACTTTACGGCCATCATCGACAGACGACTGCTGACATGCTGGGATGCCGATGTTGAAGATGATGACACCGCCTTCATCCGAATATTCTTTCTGCCGGCCGGACTGTTGCGACATGATTCGGCTCTGGACGTAGGTGGAGCTGCCCGACTGCAGAAGGTGTTGTTAAGGGTGGCTGCACCGGGAGATATTGCTGGCGGTATGCGTGACTATCTGCGAGGACACCGAGGAAGGATACAAACTCGTTCGTGCTGCCTCGTCTACAGTCAGCAAGACCTGGCCTGTGCACAGTCTCATTTCCTTGCGAGTTTGCGAGCGGCGCGGTGCGGTGCGACGTGTAGGGCAGGGAACCTTAGCAGCTGCAATCACGTGTCATTGACAGCACATTGCGCGCTTGTGTCGTTAACAACTCAAGCTCTTCTTGCCAAGCGGCGCGGGGAAGAGGCACAGCACTATCGTTGTGATCCGAGGCAAGCGCGATCAAATCCGACGGGAAGGCGAAGCATCCGAGAAGAGAGCGTTTCGGAAGTCCTCGGGGCGAACGGCATGCTCACATGCACATTGGGACGTACATCAATGCGCAACTTTTGCCGGGGCGGACCGATTCGCGATAGCTGCTCTTAAAAAGAACCACGCCCGAGCAGTACAGAGGCGGGAGCTGAAACCAATCTCCGCCTTGCTGACGTCCAGCCTTGCCATGGTGGTCTGACTCGATCTTGAAATGGTCTGTCTTTCATTTTGAAGCAGAGCGTCTTTCTTTCGAGCGGAAGATTAAGGAAGCTGCTCATTCAGATTCAGCAGCAGAGTCAGCTCTCACAGCTACGCACATACATTCTGCGTTCGCACGATGTTGTTGGATTCCCAGTACGTAAAGATTGTGGAGGCCTCCGCCGGTTGGGTGAATTCCATGCATAGAAGCGGACCCTGAAGTCCACTTATACTGGCGACCAGATTTATAATAGTGTGGGAAGCAACGGGACCTCGCTTACAGTGTACGATACTTCTGAAGTTACTCTGAGAGCCGGGAACTGGAGGCAACTTGCCTCTCAGAGCGGTGTCGATGCATCGGTTCCGCCTTTTCGAGGTTTTCGATCCCGGTCAATCATAACTGGATGCTTCGGACATGAAGGGCAAATCACCTGGATCCATCCAACGCGGTCCGTATCTTACAGGCGACCCCGTCCTTCGGCTCGGAACGCGGCACTGTTGGACTCGACAGGCTCGGCGAATGACTGCCTGCATCTTCTTGAATCCGTTTGTCAAGCTCGTCTTTCCCGGCGTCGTCAGATTGTACCACATGGACACCCAAAAGCGCAGTCCGTCCGCAGACGAGGCCACTTCTGGACCTGGACGCAACTATCTTGCCAGCGAGCCCACGACGGACGGCGACATCATTGTCTATCGATTGAGAATGGGCACGGAAAAAGCAAAGACCTACAAAGCCTTGCCGCTAGAAGAACGAAGACAATTCTTGATCGACAACTACGACGCAAAGATCATGCGCCCGTCTTTCAACTCGCTTCCGGCCTGAATGACACGTAGCAGCTTCGTACACTGGTTGGACGCTGGCAGAGTCGATCGACAGACGAACTTGGTGTAGCAATGCGGACGGCACTGCTACGAGCAAGCGAAACGACCGTGATGGTGTAGTTGGTGTTGCAAGTAGCGTATGGCGTGGATTCCGAGCCGTCCACCGTTCTGCCTTGCGGAGATCCACGGAGCGGATGTCTGCCTTACAACGAGCGCAGCAATAGCCGAAGTCGAGCGGAAAGCAGGGCACAATTGCCGCTGTGCCTCCGGCGGAACGGTCAGGGTCCAGCGCTCGAGCCAAACGACCACTGACCGCGGCTTCATCGACGCTAGTGAGTCCATCATGCGCAGATGGATGCGTTGCAGACGTGATTCGGCAGGTATATAGGGAACGGATCACCTCGCAAGGGTGAGCGCAACCCATCGTCCCCTCACTGCTTCGACAGCCCGATCTGTCATGACGTCTGCCACTGGCGCAAATCTAAACACCGCGCGCACGGCGCTCATCACGGGTAGCTCGGATCCTCACGCAATCGGCTTCACGGCTGCTCGTCTGCTGGCTCAGCAGCACAGCTTTAACGTCATCCTCAGCGGCCGGCGCGCCCAAGCTGTCCAGGAAGCGGTCGTGAAGCTCAAAGAGGAGCTTGCTTCTTCTTCCTCCACTGCCCGGGTGTGTGGTCTTGTTCTCGACGTCGACGATCAAAGCTCGATCGATGCAGCTGTGTTGCAATTGTTGCATCCGTCTGGTCCGCTTCTCGGTGGCGCGTTGGATGTGGTGATCAACAATGCCGGTGTAGGTGCTCCGCCCGGCCGCGGTGGCAAGGGCACCAACACCATGTTCCTTCAGACCGAACTCACCACCTCGGCCGACATGATTAAAGTGCTCACCACCAACGTCGCTGCACCGGTCGCAGTCACCAATGCGCTGCTACCGCTGCTTTCCAGATCGGACCGTCCAAGGGTGGTCAACGTCTCATCGGCACGTGGTTCGCTGGCCTTTGGAAGCGGACTGGAAGCGGAAAGGACGGGTGCGATGGTGTACAATGCGTCCAAAGCAGCGCTGAACATGGTCACACTCATGCAGGCCAAGAATCTGCCCAAGCACACCGGTGCCAATCTCAAGGTCAATGCCGCTTCGCCAGGACACGTCAAGACAGCGTTCAACAACTTTACGGGGCTCAGGTCGTTGGAGGAGGGTGCGGCGGTGTACGTGCACCTCTCCACGCTACCAGATGATGGTCCTACGGGCCAGCTGATCGGCAACCATGCGCCATTCTCCACGGACGCTTCGTTCGTCCCCATCCCGTGGTGAGCATCGCTCGTCTTCTAGGAGGACCGTAGGAAGAAGGCGGCGTTGCGATTCGGTGAATCGATACACCTGCACAAAACGTAGATCTGACATCTCGAAAAAATTCTCGGATGTCGGAAGTGAGGCCGAGCCAGAAATGAGGGCGCAAAGAGAAAATTTCCTCGAAGGCAGCGGAAGAGCGAAAAATTGCCGGTCGGACGAGGCTCTCACTTTGCTCTGCCCCACCATCACCCTCGCCATCACAATCCACGATCATGTTGCAGAAAGGACGCGGAAAGGGCAAGGGCAAGGGCAAGGGTCCCGAGCTGACGTTCGACGAAAAGGCTAGGGCCGAATATCTGACGGGCTTCCGCAAACGAAAGCAGGAGCGCAAGCAGGCCGGTCGTGAGTATCTCGCCAAAAAGGCCAAGGAAGAGCAGCTGGTGGCACGCAAGGAGTTGCGACAGGCGCGCAAGGAGAAGGCGGCCGAAAACGTGCGCGAGGCACGCAAGGCGTACGGCCTCGAAGCCGAGGGCGAATCCGATCTCGACGCCGACGACGCATCCGACGATGAGCAGCCCGACCAGGCGGACGCCGTGCCGCAGATCCAGGAGGAGGAGTACGATTCGGACCAGCACCACACACATGTCGTCGTAGAGTCGTTCGATCCGGAACAAGAGGCGTTTGCAAAGGCCATCGAGAATGCGCCAACGACCAGGATCCCCAAAGCTAATGGTGCGTCTACCAATGCACAGTCCAGTGTAGAGGCTCTTCCACCTTCCTCCCGCCGCGTCAACAAAGCTAAGGCCAATGCGAGTCTCTCTCTCTCTCTCCCTCTAACACACACACTCCGTTGTGTCGTTTCAACGTGCACATACTTACCCGCTCTTTCCGTTTCTCCTTCGCTCGTGCAGGCCCAAGCCAAGAAAAAGATCATCCACACCAAGAAAAAGATGTCGCGCAGAAAAGACTCCTCGTCTCGGGGCTCACAGAGTCGTTCTCGAAAGAGGAGCTAGTGCGACGCTTCTCCACTTTTGGCAGCGTGCTTGCGCTCGACGGGCTCGGCAAGCGCGACGCCCTCGGCCAGTTTCGTCCGTACGCCTACCTCACCCTGCGCGCACCGCAACAGCAGATCCAGCGATGCATGAATCTGCTCTCGGGCTCGGTCTGGAAAGGCGCTACGCTGCGCATCGGCGAGGCTAAGCCGGACTTTCAACAACGCATCCAGCAGGAAAACGAAAAGCAAAGACTCGAGGATCAGCAACGCACCGCCAAAGTGCCAAGGCGATTGCCGCCAGGCATGGGATTCGAGAGTGCCAGGATGGAGCCGGTGGACGAGGCGGCCGTGGAGAGTGGTTCGGTGTGGGGATGGAAGCGTACGCCAGCCGGACATCTGGTGCGTCCATTGCGTATGCGTCCTGCCCATCCGCTCCCGCGTCCCTCGCGAGCTTCGACGCTCGCACACGCCAACGCCAACGCCAACGTGCAGCAAGAGGACGCCCAGCCCGAGTCGAGTCGAGTCACGCGCGTCAATCCACGTCCGCCCACCAAGGCGCATCGCATCACCATCGATCCGACGCGCTACGGCGCCATCCATCTCTCCGGTCCGCTGCTCGAGTCGCTTGCAGCCGAGACGGGCGCGGCCGAGGCGGGTTTCGATGTGGCATCGCTCGGATCGGGCGAATGGCAGTGCGAAGAGATCGACGACGGCGCAGCGGATGCGTCGCATCGTCTCGTGTGCTGGCGATACGTGGCGAAAGACGGCGTGGTGCTGCACGAGGAGTTCACCAGGCTGCCCGTTCGTGTCGTTGCCGCTGCACACGCTCGCAACGAGGAGGATGTCGTGGATCAGCTCGACTTTGACCGATTTGCCAACGATGCGGATGGCGACCTGTTTGCCGGTTTCTCCTCGACCCTCACTCCTGCCAAGCCGGCGGCGCATGCGCATGTTGTTGAACCGGCTGCTGTTGCGGCCGAGGAGGTTGACACGGCGGACATCGACGACCTCTTCAGTGGGCTGACGTCGAGCGCAGCGGGCACGAACGATTTGTTCTCGGATCTGCCTCCCGTGCCTGCCAAGCGAGCCAAGGTACAGACGCCCGCAGCGTCGGTTCCAGCACCAGCAGCGCCGATCTCGACACCGACGCCCAAGACAAAGGGGACCTTTGTGCCAGGCCTGGATCCGGAGGAGGAAGACGCGGCCAATTTTTCCGACGGCTACGACGAGACCACCGCCGCTACTCCTGCAGCAAAGATGGCAGATGCGGTCGAGGAGCGACAAAAGACGCTCGCGCTGCTGGGCGAGATGTTTGGCGCTTCCGACGACGAAGTCGCCCCCGCTGTGGTCGCTGCGCAAGAGGAGGAAGTCGAGCAAGAGTCGGAGTCGGGCGAATCCAGCTCGGATGCTTCGATCATAGGATCGTCATCGGAAGTGGAGGACGTCGAAGCAACACCGAGCAGTGACTCGAGCCCGAGCTCAGATGCTGCGTCGGAAGTCGAGTTGCCCGATGCCACCGACGCAGAAGTGAAGGATGTCGCGATGGAAGATGCTGCTGCTGTCGATGAAGTAGTTCCTGCAGCGATGGATGGCAAGTCTCGACGTGCTGCATTCCTGCGTTCGCTAGCTACACCGGCTGGATCGACGCAAGCATCCGGCGGAAGTTATGTGCCCATTGCGCGCTTTGATCCTGCATCACTTGCGCCCTCGATGCCACAAGAGTCGACACCAGTCGCTGCAGAGGTTCAGCCCGCGCGTGCGGTCACAGCCTCTGCTACGGGAGAGGATGTTGGATCCAAAGTCTCAATGTCCACACTCAAAGAAATGTTCCGACCCCAAGAACCTACCGCCTCGGCTGGGTTTAGCCTTGGTCTCGACGTCAAAGACGATTCGGGCGCGGGATTCTCCCTTCTCGACTCACTCGGTCTCGACCTGGAACTGGAAGAGGAACCCCTCGACGATACGCCTCCACCAACCCTTGCCCCGATCCAAACTCGATACCCTGCTTCCGAGGTCGTCCACCAGCAGGATGAACCCAAGAGACTTGCCCCCTTCTTCCCCAGCACCGCCGAGGCAGCCTGGAACGGTCCAAACGCCCAAGCAGCTGTTCTGCGCTGGATGAGACCAAGGACCGAAGAGCAAAGGCAAGACGACTGGTCGAGGTACAAACAAAGCCTCACCCCAGCGGTCAAGAAACGTCACCGCGAAGCAGCACGCAAACACAAGCGCAACTTCAAGAGCCTCCCGCACCAGCAGCCGAACGCCGAGGCGAATACGACGGCAAGGCGCGTCTAACTTGCAACCACATCCATGGCTTCCCAATGCAAGACCAGCGTGCGTGAACAGTGAGAGGTAGAGCGACGTCTGAGATTGCGAGCGCCGAGAAACCAGCAGGGCGCCAGAGTGAGAGTGAAGGACCGAAGCACAGACCTGCTGCGCTTGTGATGGGGGATGGGATCAGGCGGATCGCCTTTTGAGCATTCGCATCGGCTGGCGACGGTAGTCGGCGCGTGCAGCGAGGGCTGAGGAGTTGGGTTGGCGGCGCTTCTTGAGGCGGCACGACTTGGACTTGACCGAGTGGTTGCGGTGGTCGGTGTTGGATGTCGAGGCCGGGGTGGATGCGCTGGATGCGGACGAATTGGAGCTGGATGCGGCCGAGTTGGAGTTGGAGTTGGACGCGCTGCTCGTTGAAGAGGAGCTAGCAGAGGAGGAGGGGGCTGCGGCAGCGGGCTTGGGGGTCGAGCTGGATTGCGGACTAGTTGATCCGACGTCGGGAAAGTTGGAGTTGGAATGGGACCCGCCAAAGTCGAGGTCGATGCACTGGTAGAATGCGTTGGCGGTGTTGTCGACGGTCCATACGGCGTAGACGATGTGGTGGCCGGTGCGTGTGGGCATACTTTTGGAGAGGTCGTGCTTCATGGTGGCGGGGGGAGCTTTGCCGTTCATGGCGACGGTGAGGAACGGGTCGGACTCGAGGTCGTTGGCGGTAAGACCTTTGGTGGAGGAAGCGTCCCAGTCCGGGCGCGTGATAAAGTAGCGAAAGTTGGTGGTGGCGTGCTGTGCGGTGAAAGTCCAGGAGAAGGAGTGGACATCGGCGGCCTTTGTGGTGGGCCAGACCTTGGCGCCCTGACGGTCGAGTTGCGCAAACTGGGTCAGACCGGCTGAGCAGAGTTTGGCGTCGGCGTTGCGTGCAAAGGGAAGGCCCTTGGGAGCTTCGACGGACTGGGGTTCGTACTGGATCTCGCCGCAGTCTTTGGCCTTTCCGGTCTTGCAGAAGTAGGCGCGCGATGCGGGCGCGGTGACGTAGCCGTGAGCTTCGACGACGGCGATGAGCAGGTGTGATACGATTGCGACCAGCGCAAAGAGGCGGACGACGGACAAGTTGCGCAGAGACATGGTTCAAGGTGAGCGAAGAAGGGGTATCGAATGACGAGTGCGAGTGGGAATGCGTATGCAGAGAGAGAGAGAGAGAGAACAATCGGGGCCAGCCCGGTGGCGAAACGAAGTGGGAAGGGGGGATGGATATGTAGGAGAGGAGGAGGAGGAGGACGA